TCGCATGACAAAAATCAGCGAATAGAACAAAAAAATTAATGAAAAGTGATTTTAGTCGTTCAGTAAACCTTTCTTTTTTTCCAGTTAAATGGAACCACTAATTTAATCCTATGACCTATTAACAAAAAATCAAAAAAATATATAAGTCGGTTTTGTATAAAAACAAATAATTTAGCCTATCACAGAACACTATTATTATCTATCATTACTTGGGATATATCTTTTATATAGAAATTTAAATAATGAACATATTTGATTAATTAGCTCAAATTCAATCAAGACATTAATAAATTGACTTAATGGCTATCCAAACAAGATTCTAATAATATCAGCCGCCATCTCATCCCCCCCACCACCCCTGTCAATAATACCTGTCTCTTATACACATCTAGATGTGTATACAGCCACCATCGCCCACCCCTCCACCCCCAAACTTATTCTTAAGCATCTCCATTCCCCATCATTATTGGCAGATCTCGTCTCAACCAGTATCCTATTCAAAGCAGTGGATGTCAGTAAATGAGATACAGATAATAAATAATCATTCTACTTAATCTTTCATCCATATTTACTTCAAATGTTTATACAGAGCCTGGGGGCAGCAGACTTCTCATTAAATAAGCAACTTCACCATTTCCTCAAACATTATGTGAAGATAGGAAATAGCTCATAAATCAGTGTTCACATTCAGACAACAGAGGGCGCAATTCAAAGATTTGACATAGACAGGTATATTTTGTGTTAATGTTAATTCATCTTTTTAAACCAAATCTAATTAGTTAGAATGAGTCTGATAAATCTATTCCAACGAATTAATGATTATAGATTTGAAGAGCTGAATTTGTAACTGGTTCCATTTTAATTAGCAGTGAAACCAACTTTTAACCTGTACACCTTTAATATTTTTGTTACAAAAAATTTGTACCGTATTAATTACAAATCAAACTGTAGAAATTCTCTGTTTGCATGTGTAAAGATATGAATAAATACAAATTAATTAAAAACACAAGTTTCATCTCGGCGACATTAAGGAAAGGCATGTTTTGTCGAGATCAACAAAAGAAATCCGGAGCTCGAATAAATTCAATCAATAAATACTCTTCAAATTACCACACGGATGTGCTCAAATTTCAGGCCAACCTCATCGAGTTAAATGCAGCAAGGGTAAGCTCATTGAAAACTGCAATTAATTCCAACATCTAAGGCAAGAATCATATAGGTAATCCATACTGTACTGGTAATACCTTTGCTCAACGTCTCGGCTCTCCGTCCTCGTTATCTTCAAGGTCTTGTGCAACATACAAATCTGATGAATTTTAAGTATGATCTTCATGAGGCTATAAATAATTTGCCAACTCTTTGTTCATATGTGGAATAAAGTATGCTTTTACAAAAAAACAAAAAAAACAAAAACATTCTCAGCTTGAAAAATAAACTCAACACTTCAAATTATTATTTTGTATTTTAAGGAAGCTTCTTACCGTACTGAAAATATATCCTAGCCAATTAATAAATATAAATAGTAACATATTGTTGAATAAGCTGGTAATTAACTGAAAGTTGTTTTCATAGTTTGATGATTATTATGATCATGGTGTTGGTGGCTATCGTGCAACGAAGGTGATGAAGATGGAGATGACAGTGAAGAAGATAATGTTGATGATTATGATTATGATGATGATGAAATGACGACATGTATAATATAGGAACAAACATAAAATAATATTGATAACCCAGTATACTCTACATTAATTATCTTCTTTGCAACCCTGAGTTATAAAATTGCTCCTTCATGACCATTAGTTAATGGTTAATGGCTACTGCTTACGTTAACAATCCTGAAAACGTCATATAATTGAGATGAGCAAATAATAGCCAAAACCGCTAATTGCCACAAAAATATTTGTTTATCATACTTTACCATTTTGAATTACTTCTTTGTCCTTGTGATTTTATTACTTTTATTTTTTTTTGTTATATTGTTAATGTTAATCCTTGTTTTTCTATCTTTGTATTGTGAGCAAATAGGAAAGTAATTATCTATACATTTTACCTTCATTCACAATCAGTTTTGAAGAAAATAAACAAATTGATTTAAATTTAGTATTTTCTTTCTACATTTTCAGCAGCTAATCATGTTCCTACAAAATCCATTATTGATTGAACAATAATATTCATATCAATCTGAGTTCAGAGTGACCGACATTTATAGCACGACTTTATCCCACTCATTAAGAAGTTACGCATTCTATTTAACAATGTAGATGGACAATAATATTGTATTGCACCATACAGTAAACCGTACATTTAAATTTTATCCAAATTAATAATGAATCTTCCCTATTGTAATACTTAGACATGCCATCTTTTGTTCAAAAATACATTACTCGCCCACTTGTATCTTTGGTTGTGAAATTGCAAAAAAGTAACTTAAATCAAGCTCTAAATCTCAATTCGCAATAATAGTCAAGAAAAAAAGAACTTGTCTTTACAATTCAACAAAAATGTGAAATGAACTTGCCTAATGAATTTAAAATGAAATTTCAAAATGTCAGTACATTTATTCCAAAAAAACAAAAATACTACAACATAAATTTATTTCATTGACTCTTCCCTTGCTTGATTTTAAATATGTGTGTATATTATATTCTTTTCAATTATTGTTAATCAATTCAGTTCTACATATTATATATTGTATATATTTTGTTATGTTTAAACTGTACCACTTTAAAAATCAGTGCAATAGTATTAAAAGTACCTACAGTATAAAGAAAAAATAAATATAAATATTATTTTTTGAATGATAATCTAGGTAAACAATCCCCCAATAAAAAAAAAAAAACTCAGTATGCAAGTAAAGTGTTTTCTTTGCAATTTTTTAGGTTCAAATCCTCTTATTTGATATTTTAAACAGGCTCAATGAAATAATATGTATATCAAATTTGTTGAGACAATGTTTTAACAGTTTTTATATAAATGCTCCCAGGAGAAAAGATGTCATTTAACAACAAACAGCAATAAGGCAGCATTTATTACCCATAATCAAAGTGCAACTGATTTATTATCATAGTACAAATGTTAATACATCCTCGAGAGATGTGTCCTTACAGAAGAATGCAACGATGCCGAACTTACTTTACCCAGTAAAATGCATTACTCTATTAAGGTCTTTAGGTTTGACTCCCACTGAGATATAATCTGAACTATTATTTCGTAACATTATTTGGTCTTTTTGAGGTTAGGAAAATATGGAAAAATGGGATGTAAAACAGTGATTGAAATCACTGTAGGCCCATCAGTAAATTTTTATTCATCACTAAATTTATATTATATCAGAACATTATGCATGGAAAATATACTTATGACTGCTTCTATGAGGTTCAAAGAAGGATGGATCTAAAAAGCCAACTTTACAAGCTTAGGTTAAGGGTCCTTATAAAATTAACAACATTTCCACAAGTGTACTAACAGTACTCTAGTGGGGAGGGGGTAGACAAATTTGTATACTTTTACTTATGCATAAAAATGTTGATTCAAAAAAACATGCAATATGTAAAATAATGGTAAAATTATAGTGTAACCCTGGATATAATATTCATTTTTAAGAAACCAAGTACATTGCTTTAGTACACTTCACAAAAAAATGGAGAATGGTTTTGCAAATATTTTTGTATACTTTCAGAGGGGAGGGATGGGGTACCGAAAAAGAGTACTGCTTGTACACTTGTGAAAATGTTCATAATTGTGAACTACCCACCGAGATATAATCTGAACTATTATTTCGTAACATTATTTGGTCTTTTTGATATATAAAAAAAAACAAGCAGAGGTTAGGAAAATATGGAAAAATGGGATGTAAAACAGTGATTGAAATTACTGTAGGCCCATCAGTAAATTTTTATTCATCACTAAATTTATATTATATCAGAACATTATGCATGGAAAATATACTTATGACTGCTTCTATGAGGTTCAAAGAAGGATGAATCTAAAAAGCCAACTTTACAAGCTTAGGTTAAGGGTCGTTATAAAATTAACAACATTTCTACAAGTGTACTAACAGTACTCTAGTGGGGAGGGGGGTAGACAAATTTGTACACTTTTACATACGCATAAAAATGTTGATTAAAAAAAACATGCAATATGTAAAATAATGGTAAAATTATAGTGTAGCCCTGGATATAATATTAATTTTTAAGAAACCAAGTACATTGCTTTAGTACACTTCACAAAAAAATGGAGAATGGTTTTGCAAATATTTTTGTACACTTTCAGAGGGGAGGGAGAGGGTACCGAAAAAGAGTACTGCTTGTACACTTGTGAAAATGTTCATAATTGTGAACTACCCCTAAGGAGGAGTACCAAACAGGATGTTATAGCATTCATATTGTATTTGCGTACAATGCAACACAAGAAACGATATTCTTGAGTTGCTAATTATGGATCCTATGACCAAGGGGTAATAATAAAATAATTACCACGGTCATACCAGAGTTCAATCATGCTAGGGTCCGCAGGATCAGTGTCATTTTATGGCAGTATTGTGCGTCATTCAATAAGCATTTTGTTTCAGAGCAAAACAACAAGGAAATATGCAGTGACCTAAACCTTAAATACATTTATTGTTAAATCTCTGGTTGTGTATTTATAAAAAGCTGTAACCAAGTGGTACTGATAATGCTCAGCTGTATTTTTTGCAGTATAGAATACCGTTCTGTCCAGAGTTTAATGTGTTTACTGTGATTTCCATATATATGGATATAACATGTTTACTGTGATTTCCATATATATGGATATAACATGACATACTGTATGAATATGATACGACATCATCATGCCTATATATGGATATGATAATGCATCATCATGCCCATATATGGTCAAATCACAAATAATTGTCACAGTTAACTACAGTGTAGATAGGGCATTAAACTAATAAAACTTTATATCTTTTTTACTACCCTTGGATTATCTAAGGCTAAGGCAAGTAGGCTAGTTACCTGCAATAATGTCGTCCATCTGTTCTAATGCAGCAGCAAGCATCTGACTTGCATCGGCCCCTAGACTCGTGGACATCTTGGCCGAGTACCTTTTAAAAGCTAGTATATGCTACGCAGTTGTTACAACATGGAAGACGAATGCTCGTTCTCACCAATCAGTAAAGATCACCGAGATGACATTCAATACAAGTGGAAACCTGAGGAAACAATGAAAAAAAAAATTGATAAACAGATTGGTTCATTGATAAGGCAACCTTACACATAATACTGAGAAACAAATAGTTTCACCGTGTAGATAATATAATCCCATCCCATATGAAGAACATAGATAAATAAGTTCATAAAACATTCCTCTATGAGACAAATTAATATAATTATCAAAAAAACACTAACAAAAAACAAAGCAGATTTTGCTGGTAACACATCAAGAAACAGCACTAATCTATGAACAGTCGTTATAAGAAAACCAGTTACTTTGCATTGAAAATGACAACTAGTATAAAAATTGTAAAATATATTAGGCACTGGTAAAATGACTTACCAATGATCACCAAAAGCAAGATAGAGGGGATTGGAGGAAGCAGGTTCAAGTGGCCAAAAGACAAGGTGATAGAACGTTAATATCACTACTTCTTCTACTTAGGACACTGAGACAAGGGTTCATTTCACATTGCCGTTAATTTTATGTATATACCTTTATTTTAAGCAATTTGCAATGCATGCTAAAGAGCTAAATATTGTATAGTCAATTGTACATTGGCTTACAACTTAGAATAGTGCTTAGATAATTGAAATAATTTTGTTTTCCTACATGAAGACAAAATTCTGTAGGATTTAAATCAGGTGTAGGCATAAAAATAGGTCAGAGAGCAAAAGTGAATTTTTGAACACCAACAGCCGGACCCAAAGTTTTGATGATTCCAGTGCACTTCCAAAAAAAAACTTCATGCACTGATTATATACAGTAACAATTTATTCTCAGTTTTAATGTTACTGTTTGCATATGATTAGTGTCAGGCCGTAAAAAAACATGGTGTTTAGCGGGCCGTACACAGTGTGTTTTAATTCATTTTCATGGGCCGCACTTTGCCCACCTGTGATTTAAATGAAAAAGCCTAGGATTGAAAGGTGAGCATTTTATTACATGGCTACAGCTGTATCTAAGCTGCCTATAGATTGTACTACTCTTATAACACAAAAATAATCCCTCATCATCCAGATGGCACTTTAAATCAAAGTTCTATCAGTCTACAATCTAATGAACTGCAATATCTACCAGACTGGAAAGATCAAGTTTTTCAAGTGCCCTGGCTAATCCTAAATAAATATCCTATCTGTTTCAAGATTAAGCTATACTAGCTAGGCATCAGCTTATCCACAGATTAATGACTGATAATTTATAGACTAATAAATGATAATCCACAGATCAATAAATGATAATCCACACAATCAGGAATGGTAATCCACAGGCTCTCCATGATCATCCTTTGACAATAGCTAAAATCTTAGTAAACAATCCCAAGTTTATCTTGAACAATGGATGAACGATACCATTCTTCAAGCATATTGTTGTCACGTCACCCTCCAGATCTGACTTAAAATCAAAGGTTCATAGTGTGCCTTTCCCTAAAGCAGGGTCACTAGGACAGGAATTTAAGTTTACAGCGATTCTTACACCCTTAGCAATAGAATAACCCGAATGTACCTTAGGGCTGCTCAACACCCGATCAGCTGCAGAAGAAATCTAAATTACAGGCAACAAAATGGATGCTAAAAGGATTGATTTTGCACTGGATCCAGCTAATTACTGTATCTCATACTAAATTTAATGCTATTATATCTAATTATGGTATCAATGACATTAGCAGAGCTTTAGTGGCTGTTGTAATCAAATGAATACAGGTGACTATAGCCGCAATCGCACTGGATTTAAAATAGGGAAATTTTTACCGAGACTGTGGGTAAACTTCCAATGGGTAAACTTCCTGTCGTTCGCACTGGGATTTATCGACGTGGTTAGTTTTACCACAGGCCATGGTGAAACTAACCATTCGTACAGATTCAACTATTGGGGGCGCTAAATCGTGACGTTCACTTCCGGTATGTGTGGCAAAACAATTAACGAAAGCACGCGCGGCCATTGAAACAAACCGAGTAAACAAGTGAAAAAAATGACAAAATTACTCAAAATCAAGACACTCCTGCTAGGTAAAGCTAACCTGGTCAGTTTTCCTGGGCAAGCGGGACTCGGTTAAATTAACCGCGCGGCTTGGGTAAGTTTCCTGTCAGGTAAACTTCCTGTGCTGTTCGCACTGGACTAATTATGGTAAAACTAGCCAATGTGTTGGTTAGTTTTACCAAAAAAAGTCCAGTGCGATTGTGGCTTATGTAAGCCTAAGTAATTCATTCACTTTTACACATGATGTTTTGGGGTCACCGTACTAACCTACTAGTCTCGCATGCTGCCAAGGCTTATAACATTACTGAAAAAATTTAAGAACTGCACTAAACATAAAACCATATCAATAGACTAAATAAAATAAATTTATTTAAACAATTTTTGTCCATGTATTGAGATCGTGCAAATTATTGTCTTTTGAGATCAACAAGAAAATTCAGTTTCATTGGGGAAAATCAAAAGATTTGTAGAAAGTTGAATCAATATTGGATCCTAAAATTATTGACATAGGGCACTGTAATATCTACAAGTCAAATTTCTCTGCATCTGCCAAGTTGCCATTTTCTTTATCAATTTTCCATGAGAATGTTCCTACATAGCAAAGCTAGTCTGAGCAAAATAAAAAAAATGTTTGAATAATGTAACATATTAATTAGGAACTTTCTTTATTCAGAATGAGGACATGAATAATTAGTATTCAATTATAGTAGCAATGTTTAACTACTTATAGATTTGCAAACAGGTACTTGAGCCAATTTGTTGATTAAATTTAAAGTAAAGTATAAGTAAGCAAATATATCAGCATTATTCAGTTTAGTAACATACTTACAATAGGCAGTGAATTGGTGTCTATTAACTACGGTTCAAAAAGATAAGGCGATAGGAATCGATTGAAATGTGCGAAAAGAAGGATTAAGATTTCCATAAATTAAAATGTCATATTTAATTATTAGACAACTAAAAGAAACTATACAAAAATTAATTTTGAATACAGAAGTGAAAAGTTGAATGGGATAGTAGAAAGGTACAGTATAATATTAAATTGGAACATATTGACATTCATAGACAAGAGCACAAATATTAAATAACAAATAAATGACATGTACGGTATATAATGTAGGCAAATAGTTAAAGTACAATAGGGAGGCAGTTAAAAGTAGAAAGTAAATAGATGGTCAAGTAGACAGGCAGAGATACAGTTGACAGGTAGGTAGTTGGAGGTCAGGAATGGGCAAATGGATAAAATCAATATAAATTACGAAGGTAGTGAAAGTAGACAGAAAGCTGGCCAGTTATTAGGCAGTTAGTTAAGGGTAGATAAATAGTTAGGCAAGTGGATATAAAAATGGGCAGGTAACTGAGAGTAGAAAATTTCTTCAAGTAGGATGGAGCAGTCTAGATGGACTAGAATATAAATTAGGCAAGGATAGTTTAGACAATTTAATGGGCAAATCAACATTTAGATAAAAAGTAGGCAGGCAGGTAAAAGACAATTATTTTAATTCATTGTTTACAAGTACACAACTAAATAAAATATACATTGGGCAAGTAAATGGACATTGGGCAAGTAGTATTCCACCAAGTAGATAAAATTCCACCAAGTAGATAGACATCAGGAATAGACAGGTAGATATAGTTGTGTACAGGAATAAATATTTCATAACTTCAAATATTTGTTGTGATACCAATCATATTCATACATAGAATTCAAAGCTGTCAATCAAAACATTTGAAATCAAGAGCCACCTTCATACTGTTTCAGTGGTCTAGGATTAATTTTCAGATATTCTTGATGATTGCTTAATTACATGCTTGAATGAATTCAGTCCAAGTATGCACTTTTGTATTGACATATTTTCCTTTTAAATAATTAAACATTTGCAAGATTTTATTGCTTTATGATTAGTGAGTTTTAAGGTTCCTTTTTTGTCATACATAATGTGAAAATAATGCATTTTGTCCTTGGAACTATAGTGATATTTAAAAACAGTTTTATTTTCTATAGCACCATTGGTTTTACATTTCATATCAAAACAGACATAAACAAAATCATATACCTCATTAGACTCTCTTCCTGTGTTTATTTATTTATTTTATTTTTCATGCAACAAATGCACCAAGGATTGTCAATAACAAATACATCACTGTCCTACGTGTAGGTGACAATCCCTTAAACAAGACAAACATACACACACGATGCTTTACACAAACTAAATTGGGAGTGGAGTTGTTTTGGTCAGGAGAAAAAAATCCTGCAAAACTGACAGGAATTGAACCCATTAGCCTGGGATCGGAAGGCAAGCATCTTAACTAATGGAGTAACTCAACTACACTCTGTGTGTATTAAGCTATAATAATATATTTTAATAATTGTTTATTGTGTCTACTGCCCTCAGGCAATAGACACTTTGCTATCCTGGTCAATCCGGAAGCGTAAAGTTGACATTGTGAGTGTGAGTTGACATTCACAAAAGTGCGAAGTAAGAATCCGAAAGTGTAAAGTTTACATTATGTCACATTTGTTATGTGTGATATGACATGATTTTACTACTACCCGTAAGCTTGGTTGTGTGTGGTGCGATGCATTGCTAGCCAATTCGTCATTATCTATCAGGCGCACAGTTCCGAAAGTTGGAAATTAAAATTTAATCGAGTAGAAGTGGTTAAACGGGTCTACAGTTGAAATTTGGCAGTAGACACACGCTCCCGCTGGGAGCCTATTTTTATTTGTTTGTAATCATATACTGTACAAGCATATTGACAGTGTGAAATGGTTTTGGTCAAATGTGACCGACTCTTTTTAAACAAGTCATGTATGTTAGACTGACAATATAAATTACCATTCGCCAATTGGTATCTGATTTTAACAATTATTACATTAATTATTTGCTTTTGACCTCCAGATTACAAACATCTAATAATGTCATTTTTCCTTTTTTGAGATCCTGTTTTTGCTAGAGTGGGTCACAAATGTGAACTTCATATATTTATGTAAATTAGCTTTCAACTGAAAATTAT